CCCCGTTTTCGAATGCATAATGCGACTGAAGTCCAGAACAAAATCTTTCATGTCCCGGAGACATATAGTCTATTTTTACTTCAGTTCTCGCCCCTCATCTCTGAAATGAAGAAGAGATCGTCAAACGATCTAGTTTGCCTAATGAAGAAGAACTGCGCAAATCTCATGCAGATTTCTAATTATAGTGGTCGTAGCACATGAGCACAATTTTGAGCAGTCCTAAAATGTACGAACTAACAGACGCTCAAAACTACTTCAGTCTTCCAATTTGTACAAAAAAAATGAAATCACATACCTCTTCCGGAATTCGAGTTCAAGTTTGTTTCACAATAGTTGGCCTGTTTGCTCGTAGAACGCATCAGTTAAGTGCCACTAGTTTTGTTTATCTCCATGAGGTCTCAATCTTTGTCTAAATTGCATTAGATTTCCTCATAAGTATTGTAACTTGGTGAACAAGGTAAGTTCATTATTTTCCTGAGAGGCAATAATAAACAGGTGCATTAACTTTCCGAGACCACAAAACAGTGAGACTGCACAAGACCCAAGTCAAAAACTCGGTTACCTTACATTCAAAGCGCACAACAATGGTGCTCTGGAATTTTCAATCATTATAGCAGTAAAATCGAGATTTCGATTTGGAGCTTTTGGAGTGAATATTTTCGGGTTCTGTGGATACTTATTAATGCACCTGCGTAATTGTATTGCTCATTGAATAATTAGTGTCTATGACCACAGCTTAATAGTTACTCAACTCATCGTTTACCCAGGTAGTATTGATACACGCGTCTGATTGCTAGTTCTCACTACTGACCCACCGGGGGATTTATTGTTTTACTCTTGAGTGGAGAAATAATTGTTTTTTTTTAATGTAGAGTATACAATAACTAGTGCTGAGATGAGCAGGGTTTGTGGCCCAACAAGCTCGCAAAGATGTGTTGTGCCATATCGTGTAAATGGAAAACTGTATGATCAGCTGCCCGGTCTCCGAGTGGGGAGCATACTTGCGTTCTGCATCCGGAATCCCAGGTACGATCCACAGTTAGGTCGATGGATTCGCACCGCTGATGAGACCCAACCAGGTCTAAACAGCTGTTCAGTGCTTCCTAGCCTTTTAGTTCACGCTTCATTTGCTATATACACGACGAATTCCCATTTGAAATTTAATCATATCCTTCATTACTCATATGAAAATAACTAAATCCTTTCACACTACAAAATCGAAACGGTCTGGTTTGGAGAACAACTACTGCAGAAGGTGTCTGGTTTTTGTAGCAAAAGCATGTCGCAGATCATTTTAGCGATTGGACAAACTCAGTGCCCCCTGTTTTCGTTCATATGAACCGACCATTTATGTCTTGGAAGATTTGTTTTTAGTGATAACGGCACCAGTTCATTTAAAGTATTGTTGGACATAGTCATTGATCAAGGACAGCCCAAGTCAACGGCGTCGACAAATGAATGGTGATACAGTGAATTGAATACTTGGCAGGACTTGGTAGTTTTTAAACCGTGTTTAATATTCGCCAATAGCAAAGCAATTGCGATCAAACTGACTGCTAAAATAATCAATCCATAGGCAAAAAAATCGCTCAACGAATGCCCCCATTATAGTCGCCAAAAAGAGGAATTTAAGAAAAACAGGTACATAAGAAGTCTATAATGGTGCTTTGGATGATGTAGGGTCCGTGACACGATAGCATTGGGATGTTTGATACCGGCGAGACAAATCAATCCAGGCTTGTTTATGAGCGCGGCAAACTCAAGTTGCACTCGGAAGACCACGTGGCAAGACCGGATTGACCACCATTCCTGTATACCCAATTCACAATGAAACAGTTTCGAGTGATCCATTTGTGCGTCAAAATTAGGCTCTAATTCCAAGAAAGCCAAACGACTGTCTACTACGTTTCAAAGCAATAGAAACTAAACGGTGTCCGATTAACGGGTAGCCCAATTCTACACTTTTATCTGTATTTTGTTTCAACGGAAATAGATAGCGCAATAATATTCAACGAGGAACATCGATGTGTTTTTTTAATGTTTTAGAGTAACATATGAATAAATAATATGTGAACGTACGTTCAGACCCATCTATTGCAAAATCAGTGTTCAGAGACGCAGTATGTTGACTTCTTAAAAGGTTCAACTACGTTCCGTATTTGTTTAAAGGGGTAATTTATTGAGTATTATGCAGGTGCACTCCGAAACTCAGCTCTTTTACCGCTGACCGCCACAATCAAAAGCACCTGGGTAATCCCAGACTGATAACAATATTTTTTTAATCAAGGCCGCTTTCCACACACATTTCTTACTTCCAACGCTTGATTGATTTTCTCTTCAATGGCCTTTCTTGTCCAGTTCCAAGCTGGTTTGATGATAATAACGGCAACAAACTGAACTGGAATATGTGTTTAGCTGAAAACATTATAATAAATGAAATCCGACTAATGTGATAACATAACCATATAGCCGGTTTTGTGCTTGTTGCTGCTCATCGCGTAGCCTTATCCGGTACTATTTTGTCAGAGCAATATTAGAATTTTCTGAGGCAAAAACCAGTGGATATTGGTGTTTGTCAACAAATAGCACAAAGCGGTGAAATATTGTGTTGTGGTTGCTCCATAGTGGTGCTCGGTAAACCTTTCGGGCAATCGGTTTCTTTTTCACACACACACACACACACACACACACACACACACACACAGGTCCTAATACTGAATGCACTTGGTTAACTGTCTTAAAACCTAAAGTATGTATCAGCAATAGCTTCATAGATGCATTGTGGATGTATGCCAATATGAAAGCCAGCAAGAACTGATAATCACCATATGGAACCCATTACGTTCCCAAAACAGGTGTTACCGAATAAACTTGCACACTGGTCATGTACCTAAGCAACGGTCCTTGAAGGTTCACAGTCGAAACAGTTGTGAATCGTTTCATCTAGAGATGCGACTACACAAAGCATTTGTTCCTNTAACAGAATAATAATAATAATAATATTCATGGCCTTAATCAACTCTAGAGTAATCGCGACTGGTGAATACGATAAACTGAACAAAAGTGGAATTTTGTAGTAGAACAACAGCACGTATTTAGTCAGGAACTGATTATTTCTGTCGAAATGAGGTCATTAGTAGTTGGCAATCTGAATGGGTACGTGTATTTGTGATACCTGAATGCTAACTGTTTTGTTTTCTTCGCCAGAAAGCCAAAATGTACTATTAGAAATCGATAACAGTGCAATTGTTGAGCAGACTATATTTGTTCATTAGAGACGCATATCACCTGAGAATCCACTTCGTTTAGTTAGAAAACAAGGTTACCGATTTTTGCCGTGTATGCTTTCAGAACAATCAACGCACATATATAAAGTGACCATTGAGATAAATATTCATCGAAAATATTTCCACTCAACTTTCTACAATCTATGTCAACTTATGACTGGTCTGTACCCAGAGAAACTCAAGCAATATCAAAGGAATTGAAATTGACATGCTACAGTTTGAATAAATACGTTGACGAATAAACATTTTTGTTAAAAATGAGTTCTTAGCATGTACGCTAACATACTAGGCGAACAACAGTACACAAATGCCAGCCAAATATTATGATTCCATCGATGCGAATATGAGAGAACAAAAAATATATATGTATAGGTGGGGAGGAGGTGCAGGATGCTGGTAGATTACAGTTCGCGTATTCGCTGAGTTATGCCATTGAGCAATCTCGTGAACTTTGACTTCTCCATGATTGCATTTTCCTCAGCCTGTCCCAAGCCTCTGTAAGCTTTTATTCCCGGTGCTGTATGTACTAGCATTGGCTTAATCACACTGTTAGTCCACTCAACTAGCACCTTCCCGTTGTTAAATACAATACTTCAGGATTAATGGGGTTATCACCATGGAAATGTAATTTCGCCTAGATTTTTTTTATCAAAAATGATAGAATTGTTCTGTGATCTGAAACCATTGATTATTCCGATACCTTTCGGTCTTTTGAAAGCACAATGACCATGTTACTAACGAGANATGATTTGACGGAACATACCACAATTGAAAATGCGTATTTCCAATCTTTATGAAATGAGGACTATAGAAGCGGGTCTAACATATCGTTTACCCACCGTGAACGTACGGTTGAAACAGCGAGTTGGGTATCAAGGATTGAGTTCTTTTCTCGACCATNCATAAACGAAATAGTGGGGTTGAAATAAGTACGGCATGGTGTGGGTTGAAGAGGAGTGTTTTGACAGTTCTATCCCTCTGGTTTGGAACAGAAGCAATTCACGGGGAGCCGGTCTTGCACGACATAAATCAAAAATGCAGTCACTCACATGCGCACAAAACAGTAACAATTGAGATCGAGTACACATGGAGAAAAAGCGACGAATGAGACGAGCCGAGCTGATCTGTGCACTCCTGACGGGGATGGATGGATGGACGAATGGATAGATGGATAGACGGATGGATGGATAGAGTTCGGTTGGTGCTGGTCATGGATTCATTTGGAAGTGCTATGGATGGTTCGCCGATGGTGATGAAATTTTACCCCGAGACTTTGAACAAGCAAAAGAGTGACGGACAACTAAGCAAACAAGAAAGTATGTGTGTTCCGGCGTGGCCTGGTGACTCCTATGAGTTCATATGTCTGTCCTTTTTGTTACATCTTCCACCACAGTCTCAATTTAGAGATAACGACCCGTACTCCCGGGATTGAATGTGTGTAACAAACGCATAATTCGACCATGTAAGGTTCTTATTGGACGAGAACCGTAACGAAATGAAAAACCAAGGTTCAGGCTGATCGTCACAATCATGAGCAATACGGATACTATCGGTATGTGATAGAAATCCATTGATGGTTGGTTGAAAGACAATGGTGATCTGTTCGATTCTGATATAAATCCGTACACGCACATAGATATACATATATAATGCAATCCAATATCAGTGCCAGTTACTTTAGCAAATTATTTTTTGGGTGATGTTGTAAAATGGTCAAGCCTGTCCGGAAAAGCACGAAAACGGTCCCCGAGACACTCGTTTCCGTTTTGATGATGGAAGACACTGAGAAATGCATTGCTTCGATTGTTGGGATTGGGAATTGTGCGATGTGTATCCGGCATTGCCGTTGTTCAAAGATTTGTCTCGATTGAATGAAAGCATCCGACGAATACTGATGGTTCGAGGTCGTTCCACGCACAGGTCCAGAATGAATCGGGCTGCTAATTCGAACACAGTCTCCACATTGGATCGATTATAGGCGGAACATTCAATGTGAACCTGTGCTCCGATCTGGCGACTCACCCACTGGGCCTTTTCCGGTTTGATCGGAGTGAGTAGACCTGCCGGTGAACCGTAGTGAATTTGATTAGACGAATATGAGGACGGACAAACGAAACGCCTGTCAGACTTACACCCGACTAGTATCAAGGGAATATGTGGACAGTAGTTTCGCACTTCACCAACCCAAGTTTGTATAATGTTATCCAAGCTTGTGGGACAATCCACGGCATAGCATAACAAAATCAAACTGGCCCCCGGATAGGCAAGCTGGCGAATCTGATCGAATTCTTCTTGACCCCCAGTATCCCATAAACCAAGTGTGATCTGTCGACCGTCAGGTAGTTCGATTTCTTTAGCTGTGGTTTCAAATACGGTTGGAATATAGTCCTCCTGAAATTGGCCGTTCACATAAGCACAAAGCAAAGCTGTCTTTCCAACCATACCATCGCCAACAATCACAACTTTTCGTGACAGGTCCATCATGATAAATAATAGTGGAGTGTTTGAGTGAAGGTACGTAAATTTTCAGCCCATATGATTAACGAAACGGGTGTTCTCGAGAAAGATCTGTACAACTAAGCTCGTCAGTACAGATACTTGCCTGTCTATACGCACATGCATGCACACACGGTGGTGGAGTCGTGAGCCGGGTATGCTGAACGGGTCAATCAAAGAAACGAATTCGGTGATCGTCCCCGCTGATTGGTTGACGAAACACACACATCCGCACACACACTCACGCCAGACACATGAACAGATGTTGACGTGTGTAGACACACCTGTGAAAAGTCAAACCTGTATGCTGCAACAGGCATGTGCCAGTAGGAACATACAACCGGAGATTTCTAACATCACAAAAAATTATCTGATCGTCAGATCCGATAGGATGGACAAACATGTGCAAACTTAACCACTTGTATGAGTCATACAGGTTTCTCTGAAATCGTACCATTACTACATATAAGGAACAAATAAAATACAATATTAGAGAATAACATCTTCTTATTCCTTATCATTGATTGAAGATACAAATATACAATAGAAATTTCAGGAGCAGAACCGCGGTCATGCAGAGTCTGCCTGAGAAATACATAAATGAGTGTAAGATGGGCAGTGGTGGAATGATTCGAACCCGGGACTTCCGGGTCAGCATTGTGATGACCTTAACCACTTAGCGACCATCGCCCACTGGAATGGCTCAATNTGGCTCAATCGAGCACTAAACGGCTGCAGAAAATCCACCAATCTAACGATCGATCTATGGATATGAAGTTCAATAGATATAATTCTTGGCCCATAGCTCATATTATATGATTTTGCGTGAACCACAGTACATCCACATTTCACCTTTGACTTTGGGCAGAAATTTTCACAGTTTCATTTTCATCTTCCATTTTTGTTTACCGTTTTGTTTTATTTCATTGCTTTGTGATTCTATTNTCTATTGTTTGACTTCCCGGTTTAAATGCTAGGGACTTGAAGCCAAACTTTGAGTTCATCAAATACAAACACACAAAAAACAGTCTGGTTAACTGCCCGGTATCCGTGTAGGTATTATGATTGCGCTCAACCAATGAGGTCCCGGGTTCGATCCCCATTTGGATCGAATAATCCTCACCGCTGATTCAATCAGGTAGAAACAGCTGTCCTAGCTATCAGGTTCATGTTTCATTTGTTTTTGGACGATATAACTCACCACAGGAAAAATAGATTAATATAAAAGATTTCAAAAGTTATTCCCTCTCTTCGAAATCCAGCAATCTGATATTTTCGTACCAAATCTTTATTGTAGTTCAATTGTGACACGGTTAAAATCCGCGACCAGCTTCGAACTTATATATGCAATTTTAAAATTTTACTTGATATCTAACGTCTTTATATTTCTGGTTTCATGCATCTTTGTTCTATACTCTCAATCGTTTACCAGTTGCAACCCATTTACCCCGAAACCCGAATCGACAAGTGATTTTTTGTGATAGATAACACCCAACGATTGAATTATAGTAGATCAAAAAAACTAAGTCAAACCTGTATCCCGTTGAACCGGCACGGTTTGTTATGGATACACGATCAAATACAGAACACACATAACCTTTAGCTTCATGTTTCAAGACATCTTTGAGTATAAAAGGGTCCTCGCGGTTATAAAGCATCTCAATATTTCACACACAAACGCGCGCACACACACAGACTGCACATAACACTAAGCTTATTTGAATTTGTATGACAAGGAAAATGTTATAATATGCTGAAATCAGATATCAAGAAGAAAAACTCCATGGTTCTGAATGATTAAATGAATGTCTTCTTACTTCCTTTTTTATTTATTGAATACACAAATATACAGTCAACATTCAGCAAGGGAGGGCGCGGCCATACAAAGGCTGCCTGAAAACCTGTGGTAAACCTCAAAGGTACCAGGAAGATTAAACTTAACAACAGTGTTCTGACCGGTGATGGACTACAATGGGTTTTCACACTATCATTCATCGGCGTGTTTAATTTCACTGAAAAGCACCGATTGATAGGCACTGATTACACGATGTGGAGATAGGCATACATTGCTGCAATTGTTTCGTTAAAGAAACTAATCGTTAGATTTATTCAGTTCCATCATTCCATCGACCTATATTCGCTGCTATTTCAGTGGATGAAGAATGATTTAAAATTTTACTCACCTAATATAGATGTAATGGTTAAAATATTCACAGATCACGGATCACGAATCACGTACTAGGAATCACGACGCCACGGAAGCACTGAATCAAACTGTCACTTGCACGAAGGTTGTCCGCGTAACCGAGATTCAAGGAAGAAGCCACAGGAGTAGTAATTCATTTATTGGAAGAAATCAAGGGGGTTAAAAAAACATGCACATAAGAAGTTTATTGCTTATCCAGGTATCTACCAATCGCGTGCGCGTATTCTTGACGTCGTACAGCTTCTGTCTGGGCCACACGTCTTCTGAGTGGTCGGCAAAATCGACCTGCGGTTAGTTGTCCAGAAGCTGTAACATCTAGGCGCTTTGCTGGCGTCATCTGGGAAGCTTGACTGATCACGGTTGTCCAGAAACTGTAACATATCACCCCGAGATTTGCGTCATATAGTAGGCTAGGAATACCACAATAAACTTTCATTTACAGTTTCAATGCAATCGTACTGAGTTCGGTACGTTAAGTGTTTAGTTCATTCGATGGTTTGGTGCATTCAGAAAACAAATCCACAACCAGCAACAGCGCAACAGTTTCCTATAGTTGTTTTATCTATTAATTTCAATAAATTATGGTTTTATGGGTGAAACCAGAAGCACACTGTGCTTAAAAAACCCCTCAAGCTTGATAATCAACATTACCCTCTAATCTACTTCTTTTCACACTCACTGGATTGATGTAATCAGTTTCGGTTGTTTTGTTCCCTTGTACCGCACATTCTGGTCCGTATTTTGCTTGTTTGAATGTTTAGATATCCCTTCCGTTCACATGTATTGCATAATAAGGTGATACCAAGATGATATTGGAGGATGTACCAACAGGGCTTTGAAAATCTACGTTGCATCTAAGCACGAAGTGATTGTCAATTCATTTGATGGATCCTTTTGATGCATTCACTTTGGCACTATATTACACTAACTCACCTTAATTTTACACCATTGCGGTCAAATGTCGTATCATCCCCGATAGTCCATTAGCTCAATAATCCTGTCTGAAGCAAATATTCCTCTAGCGGCAAAAGGCCGGTTCACACTTTGAGCTTTGAGCGTAGTATTGTCAAATCAACTGCAAATAAAAATGCACTTTATCCATCGAATAGGGACAGAATTTGCAATGAAAAATTTACCATTTTTGCTTTCGCCTACATGTGAATAAAATGAATTTGAGGATGTGACATTCAGTTAATGATGATGATGATGATGATGATGATGATGATGATGATGATGATGATGTTGAGGATTCGGATGATGCTGATGACGCTGCTGACGACGATGATGATAACATTGATGATGATAGCGATGATGATGTTGACGATGATGATGATCATGTTTACGATGATGATGATGATGATGATGATGATGATGATGATGATGATGATGATGATGATGATGAGGATGATAATGATGATGATGATGATGATGATGATGATGATGATGATGATGATGATGATGATTGATGATGATGATGATGATGATGATGATGATGATGATGATGATGATGATGATGATGATGATGATGATTCGGTTGTTGATGATGATGATGATGATGATGATGATGATGATGATGATGATGATGATGATGATTCGAATGATGATGATGATGATGATGATGATGATGATGATGATGATGATGATGATGATGATAGAAGTTGATGATGATGATGATGATGATGATGATGATGATGATGATGATGATGATGATGATGATTATGGTGATGATATTGATGTTGATCGTGATGATGATGATGATGATGTTGATGATGATGATGATGATGATGATGATGATGATGATGATGATGATTCGGATGATGATGATGATGATGAATCGGATGATGATGATGATGATCGTGATGATGATGATGATGATGATGTTGATGATGATGATGATGATGCTGATGATGATGATGAT